CAAGGAATAGCGACTTTATTCAGAAAGCTGGCAGACCGAGAGGATGGCCAACTAATGTCTTGAACCATCCTGCTCCAGTCAGAGTACAGTCTCCTTTTACACACACACACACACATACACAACCAGAGGTGGCGTTGTGGTTGGTAGGTGCAAACTTCTTGCTGCAGGAATTCTTTGTTCCTGCAGCTGTCCATGTGTGTCTGGCCATGGTGTCCCTGTAAACCTCCAACAAAACAAAGGTTATTTTCTATTTTGCAGCTTGCCATCTCTATGTAAGTGTAGAAGTGCTGACATCCTTAAAGGTCAGAGCCCTGAGAATTGGCTCTACTGTGTATTTCAGGCTAAAGGCAACATTGTTTCACAAAATGTGCAGAGCTGGCAAGACTGAGCCTAGAAGACAGGGCACAGGGTTAAAGCCACAGGAACAGAGCTAATAATGGTGTCAGATTTGTTCTCCTCTATTACAACCTGAAGCATTAGTTAGAAAGATAGCCCGTTGTAAGGCATTCTTACATAGTCATATGTAGGACTTGGCTACTTCTTACATTTAGAGTTGAAAATTGTCCCTCAGAATTTTATACTACACAACTTACAGATTATATAGAGGAAGAGGAGGCTGTATATACTATTTTCTTTTTAGGTATTAATCACTTAGTCATGGGTATCAAGAGAAAAGGAGACTGGTCACTTTGTTTTTCTCCTTTTTTCCCCACTGTTCTATGACACTTTTATTCTTTTCTCCAACTTTGAAAATTCCACTGTTAGTAATGAAAGTTACAAAATGAGTTAAGAAAATACTTATCAAAATCTTAGATCATTATTGCCATTAGATCCTTTGAATTCTTTCTTCCAGAGTTTATTTCTTGGTGGGAAGAGGAGGAGTTTAATAGGAAAGGACGAGTGAACAGTGACATCAGGTTTTCTATTGTGGATGACTGGGTGAGTAATCATGCCACAGACAAAACAGCAGATCCTGGGAGTAGAACTGGTTTTGTTGGGGAATATAATTAATTCATTTGAGGTTGTGTTAGATGTGATTTACATATAGACCAGTCTGAATGTCTATTTGGGAGTTTAATATTCAGAAAAGAATTAAGGACAAAAGACATAGATCTGCAAATCACATGCATATGGGTAATAATTAAGCAAAGGATCTTGATGAAATTATCCAGCTCTTCCCCCCTAAAAAGAGAGGTTTTTAAAAGAGGGCTAAAGATGGAGTCCTGAGGTGAGCAATGTACCATAAAAGATGGAGAAGTATCCATCAGAGTGGTGGGGAGAGGAGGGCGCTTATGGGAGAAACAGTTCCGAGGGAAGGGGCCGTGTCAGATGTCTCACAGAGTGAAGAACATTATAACAGTGGAAGAAATTTAAAGGCTGGATTTGGCCACTAGGAAATTACTTTTTTTGTTACAGCAGCTTTAGCAGGATATTGGAACACATATTGGATGGCAACGCTTAGAGTGAACGTCAGTGGAAGAAACACAGAAGATGAGATGCTTAGTGGGATTGGGAGGCAGAGAGAGAGAGAAAGAGAGGCAGAGGAGAGACAGAATCCTTGCAAAATAATGTGACTCTGAGAAATTCAGGAGTAGTTTTATCCAGTGCAAAGACTGATTATGGATGGTGGGAAGAGACAGTAACTAGTGGAGTGAGAGCTTACAACGACCACGTCAGGACACGTGTCCGCCTGCTG